ATCCTTCTTCCCATGTCGCTATCTACACTGACAGCTGGGCAGTCTTTAAAGGACGGACAACTTGGATGCCCACATGGAAGTCCAATGAATGGATGGTTTCTGGAAAGGTTGGGTGGGGAGGCAGGGAAGCCTGGGACTACATCTGGAAGGAAGCTCAATCCTGTGCCATAAAAGTGGGGCATACATGTGCCCCTAGTACAAGACTTCAAGAACTACAACAGAGTGGCAGACGAAATCGCCAAGGTAAGTGCCGTTGTGCTGATTGATCCTGTCTTGATGAACTCGGCCAACTGGGCCCACAAGCAATCTGGACATTTGGGGCAGAAAACAACATGAATTTGCCATTGCAAATGTAATCCACTGGGTTGATTAAGAGGGGCGAGAGGCCTGCAGAGATGTGAGATTGACTTCATCGGTCCCCATCTTTGTGGAAACAATGGACTGAGATATTGTGGCACTGCAGTGGGCACCTATTCAGGACTTTCCTTGTTTATCCTTGTGCAGATCGTACTGCAACACTTCAGCTGCTTCAGAACTTCGCGTTGCTTATGGCTGTCCCAAACAGGTCCAAAGTGATAACGGCTCATACTTCACCGGATCAACAGTTCAACAACCGGCCAAAGATCCTGGACTGTACTGGTTCTGCCACATCCCATACCATCAACAGGCAGCTGGTTCGGGGGTGGGATTGGTTCCTCACTCAGGCCGTTCTGTTGTTAAATCCTAGGCCAGGGTTGTCAAATTGGTGGCCCTCCAGCTGGTAGGAGACTACAAGTCCCATCATGCCTCTACCTTTGGGAGTCATGCTTGTAACTGTCAATCTTGCAATGCTTCATGGGACTTGTAGTTTGGCAACAACTGGAGGGCCACCAGTTTGACCCCCGTGTTCTAGGCCAATAGCCAAAGGTATACCACATGAGAGGATGGTGGGAGCTGGGGAAAAGATTCTACAGCATGACCCCTAGAACCCTTTGGAGGAACCCTGGCTGAGAAAGGCTGGACTAGGCAGTCATATATTTCTGTCCCCCTTGGTGGGAGTGGAGGTGACCCCTCTATGAGGACATACAGTCCATACACACCCAGCACAAGGCCGGGGTCACACTACCAGACGGTTCTCAGGGCTGCAGTTCCTCTGAGCTCCAACAGGTGGTGATCTAATTTCTACCCAGACAGGAAGTCTCTATGGTATACAAACAGGAAATGATTCAGATAAAGACCGGAAGTTTCTTATGATACGAGACAGAGGAGACGTTGGTGGAAGTGGCAGCAGAGAAGGTAATAATATCATATTTTCTGTTTGCACCCAGTAACCCCCCGTCATGTCTTCCTCCATCGTCATGTCCGTCCTCTTCCTCCACCATCATGTCCGTCCTCTTCATCGTCATGTCTGTCCCCTACCTCCATCGTCATGTCCGTCCTCTTCCATCACCGTCTCGTTTGTCCTTTTCCTCCACCGTCTCGTTTGTCCTCTTCCTCCATCGTCGTGACCGTCCTCTTCCTCTGACGTCACGTCCCGTCCTCTTTCTCCATAGTCACTGTGACGTCTTTTATCTCCAGCAGATGATGATACACACATATATAGTGTGGGAACCCAGATTAACCCCTTCAGGGGCAGAACATTCCCCCACTTCCGGGGCCGGAACATTCTCATATAAACATCTTCTTTATCAATTATCACCCTTACCCGTATAGATTAAACAACGGCACGACTGAGGATGGAGGAGGACCGGAGTCACATGACTGAGAAGATACTAAACCTCACCCTGGAGATCATCTACCTGCTGACCAGAGAGGTGAGGAGGATTCTGGGAGGTCACATGACATCACTCTTGTCTAGTCTAGCCAATGTTCTTCTTGTAGACATGTAGATGATGTCAGATGATTGATATCGGTTTCTCTTTCTCCTGATCTGTAGGATTATGTTGTAGTGAAGAAGTCTAGTGGGGAGCAAATCTCAGGAGGATGGAGCAGGACCCAGAGCCCCACCATGGTGCCTCCCCCCCTCGTTCTCCGATACCTGAGAGGAACAAAGAGCAGAAGATCCTGGAACTGACCACCATGATGGTCCATCTGCTGACAGGAGAGGTGAGCGGTGGCGGGAATTCTGGGACATTCTCCAGTAACAGACAAGGGATGTGTCTGGATGGTGACTGTATCATTGTGTGTGTCAGGTTCCTATAAGGTGTCAGGGTGTCACTGTCTATTTCTCCATGGAGGAGTGGGAGTATTTAGAAGGACACAAGAACCTCTACAAGGACATCATGATGGACAATCAGTCGTCCCTCACACATCACCGGGTAAGAGGAGACTTTATTGGAAAGGAGAGAGCAGTACGGAGGCTCCACCTATATCCCCCATCATCTGATAAACACATAGAAACAATGGATTCAGTCAGTGTGTGTGTTTCCTACAGATGGATACAGTCATGGGAACCCACCAGAGAGATGTCCCCGTCCTCTGTATTCCCAGGATTCCACACAGGAAGGTCACACCATCCTTCACCATCATCAGGTAGATGGATCCAGTCATGGGAACCCACCAGAGAGATGTCCCCGTCCTCTGTATTCCTGGCATTCCACACAGGAAGGTCGCACCATCCCTCACCATCATCAGGTAGATGGATCCAGTCATGGGAACCCACCAGAGAGATGTCTCCTTCCTCTGTATTTCCGGGATTCCACACAGGAAGGTCACACCATCCCTCACCATCATCAGGTAGGTAGATGATTGACAATTATTGGTAGTTGTGATTTATACACAGCATGTTTGTTACAATGAATGTTTTATTATATCTTTAAGAGTGGAATCCTCGGGGATGATAATACTGATGTTAAAGAAGAGTATAAAGAGGAGGATGAGGAGTATGGAGTGATGGAGGATTTTTCAGAAGGACACAAGGATATGATGGAGCCACCTAATACCAGGAACCCACCAGAGAGATGTCCCCATCCTCTGTATTCCCGGCATTCCACACAGGAAGGTCACACCATCCATCATCAGGTAGATGGATCCAGTCATGGGAACCCACCAGAGAGATGTCCCCGTCCTCTGTATTCCCGGGATTCCACACAGGAAGATCACACCATCCCTCACCATCATCAGGTAGATAGATCCAGTCATGCAAACCCACCAGAGAGATGTCCCCGTCCTCTGTATTCCTGGGATTCCACACAGGAAGGTCACACCATCCCTCACTATCATCAGGTAGATAGATCCAGTCATGGGAACCCACCAGAGAGATGTCCCCGTCCTCTGTATTCCTGGGATTCCACACAGGAAGGTCACACCATCCCTCACCATCATCAGATAGATGAGGAACAATCACTGATAGTATCATTAGGATCTGTACATTATCTGCATTGTTACCATTGATGTCATTTTTATTATATATTCAGAGTGGAAACCTGAGAGAGTCTACAGTTGAGGTTAAAGAAGAGATAAAAGAGGAGGAGGATGAGGATGGGGTGATGGAGAAGTCAGAGTTTCCAGAAGGACACAAAGATCTGTACCAGGACATCATGGTGGAGTCATCCAGCTACAGGAACCCACCAGAGAGATGTCCCCGTCCTCTGTATTCCCGGGATTCCACACAGGAAGGTCACAACTATAGCCAACATGATCAGGTAAGTAGTTTGGAGTATCTGGAACATGAAAGTGTCCGATGGAGATGATATTTTCTCTCCTTCTCTTGGCTTAGGGTGAAGATCTGACAGATATAAAAGTTGAGTGAAATCAGAAGAAGAGGCGTATGTGAGGGATGATCAGCAGTCTATGGAGGAGGATGGAATAACGGGGACATTTATAGAGGAGGACACTCCTACAGAGATCAGCACAGGTGGGTCATCAACACTAAATCCATCAGGGACATGTGGAGGGGGTCTCCCCTTTAAGTATCCAGTTCCGGCTCCTAGAGATAAAGAGACTACATAGTGCTCACTGTTATATTTATTAAATGGATAAAACAGAAAAACACTCACATAGTTATACAATCAGTCCGACATCGAATACACAGAATTCCTGCAGACTCCCCAAGCCGCGGTATCATTGTGCCTTGTGGACACTCTGCCTAACGTGATGATGTCCTCAAACCGTGCCCATCTGATGCCTTGCATCCTGATTGGTCTTTCCCAAAATTATATATGGTCTTCAGGATGGGGGAGGAGCCAATACCCCAATAATGGTGGTCTTCTGGATGGGGAACGAGCCAATACCCCAATGATGGTGGTGTTCAGGATGGGGCAGGAGCCAATACCCCAATGATGGTGGTCTTCAGGATGGGGGAAGGAGCCAATACCCCAATGATGGTGGTCTTCAGGATGGGGGAGGAGCCAATACCCATAGATGGTGGTCTTCAGGATGGGGGAGGTGCCAATACTCCAATGATGGTGGCCTTCAGGATGGGGGGAGGAGCCAATACCCCAATGATGGTGGTCTTCAGGATGAGTCCAGTCTTCCTCTTGGTCCCCCTCCCCCCATCCTCACTCTCTGACCTCTGGTGGGGCTTCTGTCTAGTAATCCTCTTTGTTTTTGTATTTTAGTCCATGGCCGGGAGATGAGGAAAACCTCAGAGGATTGTCTCACTTTGTCTCCAGACTGGAAAGTAGAAGATGAGGACATCACACAGTATAGTCCAGGAGAAAACCCGGCTCCCTCCAATGTCCATCCGGCACCACCCGGTGTAGATGGACCATCAGATTCCTCGTATCCTGAGGAACCTCAGACTGTGCGGGACTGGGCCAGCCTTCCAACAGAGAAGAGGTTCTCCTGCCCTGAGTGCGGGAAGAGTTTTCATTTTCAATTCAATCTTCATGAACACCAAAGATCTCACACAGTTGAGAAGCCGTATCCCTGTCTGGAGTGCGGGAAATGTTTTTTAAAGAAGTCCCATCTTTCCTTACATCAGAGATCTCACACGGGGGAGAAGCCGTATACCTGTCCCAAGTGCGGGAAACGTTTTGTACAAAAATCAGAACTTGTCTCACATCAAATGTGCCATTCAGGGGAAAAGTTGTATTCTTGTTCTGAGTGTGGGAAATGTTTTACATTGAAGTCCAGTCTTTTTAGACATCAGAGATTGCACACAGGTGAGAAGCCGTATTCCTGTTCTGAGTGCGGGAAATGTTTTTTATACAAAAATCAAAACTTGTCACACATCAGAGGCATCACACAGGTGAAAAGCCGTATTCCTGTCCTGAGTGCGGGAAATGTTTTGTACAAAAATCAGAACTTGTCTCGCATCAAATGTGCCACAATGGGGAAAAGCCGTATTCCTGTTCTGAGTGTGGAAAATGTTTTGTACAAAAATCGCTACTTGTCACACATCAAAGGTCTCACACGGGTGAGAAGCCATATACCTGTCTGGAGTGCGGGAAATGTTTTACTAGGAAGTCCAGTCTTTGCAAACATGAAAGATCTCACACAGGGGAGAAGCCCTATTTCTGTTCTGAGTGCGGGAAATGTTTTTCAGGGAAGTCTAATCTTTACAGACATCAGAGACTGCACACGGGGGAGAAGCTGCATTCCTGTCCTGAGTGTGGGAAATGTTTTGTACAAAAATCAAAACTTGTCTCACATCAAATGTGCCATTCGGGGGAAAAGCCGTACTCCTGTTCTGAGTGCGGGAAATGTTTTGCATTAAAATCGCTGCTTGTCACACATCAGAGGTCTCACACAGGTGAGAAGCCGTATTGCTGTCCTGAGTGCGGGAAATGTTTTTCTAGGAAGTCCAATCTTTGCAAACATCAGAGATCTCACACGGGGGAGAAGCCGTATTCCTGTCCTGAGTGCGGGAAATGTTTTTCAGGAAAGTCCAATCTTTGTAAACATGAGAGATCTCACACGGGAAAGAAGCCGTATTCCTGTCCTGAGTGCGGGAAATGTTTTTCAGGGAAGTCCAACTGTGACAGACATCAGAGATCTCACACGGGGGAGAAGCCATATTTCTGTCTCGAGTGCGGAAAATGTTATTCACAGAAGTCGGATCTTTCCAGACATCAGAGATCTCACACAGGGGAGAAGCCGTATTCCTGTCCTGAGTGCGGGAAATGTTTTTCAGATAAGTCCTACCTTTCCAGACATCAGAGATCTCACATGGTGGAGAAGCCACTTTCCTGTCCTGAGTGAGGGAATTGTTCCACACTGAAGTCCTGTCTACCTGTACATCAGGGGTCCCACACAACCCTGGAGGTGTATTAGTGCCTTGAGTGCGGGAAATGTCTTCTAGATGAATGTTGCTGGACATCCCAGCTCTCATGTGGGGAAGAAGCACACCCTGATATACACCTCAGATATACTCCATGGCTGATCTTCATCATAGAACAAACAGTTCATAAGGAGGTCAGAGGTCACCAAAGATGTGGATGAAGTGTGGGACCGGGTTGGCCATTGATAGGAGAAGAATAAAGATGGCGTCCTCACCTGTCATTGGCTGAGTGCATTTTGTGGTTTAGAGACTTGGAGGTCTATTTTGAAAAAGAAGAAAACTATCTGATGGGAAGTGGCCACATTCGCCCAGCCAGGACCAATATTGGCCATAGCTTAACTCCAACCTCATGATTTCCTATGATCGTCGGCTCCATCTAGTGTCCATAATTCTGTATCGCAATATTTTTACAGTTGGCCGTATTTCAGGAGAAAGAGCTGCCGATCATAGGAAATCACTCTGTTAATCTGGTCAGAATTGATCATAACTGGACAAATGCTGGTCACACCCTTCCAACAAATGTTCTCTACAGGCATGGCTTCATGCAAACAACGAAGGTACCTGACAGTACCCACCATGTCACTGCTGGGCCTGCAGGTGAATTATTGGAGCCCAGTAAACATTGGGAGGGGTTGCACATTCTGGGGGTCCATGCAAGCCATCTAGGGGTTGTATAGAGTTTACAAAGCTCACCCTGTGACGATGTCTGAGAGCGCACCTATTCTTCCCCAGAATGTTCCAGAAGGTCCAACTGGTCTTTGGGACAAATTATTCCACCATTGGAGGGGGGTTGAGGAAGGTTTCCCTGAGCCTTGTTATTTGGAGTTTGGCCATTTCCACCATTATAGGAGAGTTGGAGAAGTTTCCCTGACCCTCCTAATTGGATGTTTGGCCATTTCCACCATTTGGAGGTGAGTTAGGAAAGGTACTCTGAGCCTCGCAAGTTGGAGTTTGGCCATTTCCACCATTGGAGGTGAGTTGGGGAAGGTTCCCTGAGCCTCGTAATTTGGAGTTTGGCCATTTCCACCATTGGAGGTGAGTTGGGGAAGGTTCCCTGAGCCTCGTAATTTAAAATTTGTCCATTTCCACCATTGGAGGTGAGTTGGAGAAGTTTCCCTCACCCTCCTAATTTGGTGTTTGGCCATTTTCCACCATTGTAGGTGAGTTGGGGAAGTTTCCTTGAGCCTCGTAATTTGGTGTTTGGCCATTTCCACCATTGTAGGTGAGTACGAGACTTAGGGAACCTTCCCCAGCTTTCCTACAATGGTGGAAATGTCCAAATTTACGAGGCTCGGAACCTTCCCCAACTCACCTACAATGGTGGATATGGCCAAACTCCAAATTACGAGGCTCAGGGAACCTTCCCCAAATTTGGAGTTTGGCCATTTCCACCATTGGAGGTGAGTTGGGGAAGGTACCCTGAGCCCCGAAATTTTGGAGTTTGACCATTTCCACCATTGCAGGTGAGTTGGGGAAGGTACCCTGAGCCCCATAATTTGGAGTTTGGCCAATTCCACAATTGTAGGTGAGTTGGGGAAGGTACTCTTAGCCTCATAATTTGGAGTTTGGCCATTTCCACCTTTTGTAGGTGAGTTGGGGAAGGTACCCTGAGCCACGTAATTTGGTGTTTGGCCATTTCCACCATTATAGGTGAGTTGGGGAAGTTTCCTTGAGCCTAGTAATTTGGAGTTTGGCCATTTCCACCATTGTAGGTGGGTTGAAGAAGTTTCATTGAGCCTAGTAATTTGGAGTTTGGCCATTTCCACCATTGTAGGTGGGTTGGGGAAGTATCCTTGAGCCTAGTAATTTGGAGTTTGGCCATTTCCACCATTGTAGGTGAATTGGGGAAGTTTCCTTGAGCCTCGTAATTTGGTGGCCATTTCCACCATTGTAGGTGAGTTGGGGAAGTTTCCCTGAGCCACGTAATTTGGTGTTTGGCCATTTCCACCATTGTAGGTGAGTTGGGGAAGTTTCCCTGAGCCTAGTAATTTGGTGTTTGGCCATTTCCACCATTGTAGGTGAGTTGGGGAAGTTTCCTTGAGCCTAATAATTTGGAATTTGGCCATTTCCACCATTGTAGGTGACTATGAGGTTTAGGGAACCTTCCCCAGCTTACCTACAAATGTGGAAATGGCCAAACTCCAAATTACGAGGCTCAGGGAACCTTCTCCAAATTTGGAGTTTGGCCATTTCCACCATTGTAGGTGAGATAGGGAAGGTTCCCTGAGCCTCGTAATTTGGAATTTTGCCATTTTTCCACCATTGTAGGTGAGTTGGGAAAGTTTCCCCTCACCCTCCTAATTGGGTGTTTGGACATTTTCCACCATTGTAGGTGAGTTGGGGAAGTTTCCTTGAGCCTCGTAATTTTGGAGTTTGGTCATTTCTCCACCATTGTAGGTAATTTGGGGAAGTTTCCCTCACCCTCCTAATTGGGTGTTTGGCCATTTTCCACCATTGTAGGTGAGTTGGGGAAGTTTCCTTGAGCCTCGTAATTTGGTGTTTGGCCATTTCCACCAATGTAGGTGAGTACGAGGCTTAGGGAACCTTCCCCAACTTACCTACAATGGTGGAAATGGCCAAATTCCAAATTACGAGGCTCAGGGAACCTTCCCCAAATTTAGAGTTTGGTCATTTCTACCATTGGAGGTGAGTTGAGGAAGTTTTCCTTTGCCCCGTAATGTGGAGTTTATCCATTTCCACCATTGGAGGTGAGTTGGGGAAGGTTCCCTGAGCCTCGTAATTTGGAGTTTGGCCACTTCCACCATTGTAGGTGAGTACGAGGCTTAGGGAACCTTCCCCAGCTTACCTACAATGGTGGAAATGGCCAAATAACGAGCCTCAGGGAACCTTCCCCAAATTTGTAATTTGGCCATGTCCACCATTGTCGGTGGGTTGGGGAAGTTTCCTTGAGCCTCATAATTTGGTGTTTGGCCATTTCTACCATTGTAGGTGAGTTGGGGAAGTTTCCTTGAGCCTAGTAATTTGGTGTTTGGCCATTTTCACCATTGTAGGTGAGTTGGGGAAGTTTTCCTGAGCCTCGTAATTTGGTGCTTTGCCTTTTCCACCTTTGTAGGTGAGTTGGGGAAGTTTCCTTGAGCTCTGTAATTTAGAGTTTGGCCGTTTCCACCATTGTAGGTGAGTTGAGGAAGTTTTCCTGAGCCACATAATTTGGTGTTTGGCCATTTCCACCATTGGAGGTGGGTTGGGGAAGTTTCCTTGATCCTAGTAATTTGGAGTTTGGCCATTTCCACCATTGTAGGTGGGTTGGAGAAGTTTCATTGAGCCTAGTAATTTGGAGTTTGGCCATTTCCACCATTGTAGGTGAGATGGGGAAGTTTCCCTCACCCTCCTAATTGGGTGTTTGGCCATTTTCCACCATTGTAGGTGAGTTGGGGAAGTTTCCTTGAGCCTCGTAATTTGGTGTTTGGCCATTTCCACCATTATAGGTGAGTTGGGGAAGTTTCCTTGAGCCTAGTAATTTGGAGTTTGGCCATTTCCACCATTGTAGGTGGTTGAAGAAGTTTCCTTGAGCCTAGTAATTTGGAGTTTGGCCATTTCCACCATTGTAGGTGGGTTGGGGAAGTATCCTTGAGCCTAGTAATTTGGAGTTTGGCCATTTCCACCATTGTAGGTGAGTTGGGGAAGTTTCCCTCACCCTCCTAATTGGGTGTTTGGCCATTTTCCACCATTGTAGGTGAGTTGGGGAAGTTTCCCTTAATTTGGTGGCCTCCACCGTAAGTTTGGTGGCCATTTGGTGTTTCCACCATTGTAGGTGAGTTGGGGAAGTTTCCCTGAGCCTAGTAATTTGGTGTTTGGCCATTTCCTTGACCATTGTAGGTGAGTTGGGGAAGTTTCCCTGAGCCTAGTAATTTGGTGTTTGGTCATTTCCACCATTGTAGGTGAGTTGGGGAAGTTTCCTTGAGCCTAATAATTTGAAGTTTTGGCCATTTCCACCATTGTAGGTGACTAGTTTCCCTGAGCCTGAGGTTTAGGGAACCTTCCCCAGCTTACCTACAAATGTGGAAATGGCCAAACTCCAAATTACGAGGCTCAGGGAACCTTCTCCAAATTTGGAGTTTGGCCATTTCCACCATTGGAGGTGAGTTGGGAAAGTTTCCCTCACCCTCCTAATTGGGGTGTGTTTGGCCATTTTCCACCATTGTAGGTGAGTTGGGGAAGTTTCCTTGAGCCTCGTAATTTGGTGTTTGGCCATTTCCACCAATGTAGGTGAGTACGAGGCTTAGGGAACCTTCCCCAGCTTACCTACAATGGTGGAAATGGCCAAATTACGAGGCTCAGGGAACCTTCCCCAAATTTGGAGTTTGGCCATGTCCACCATTGTTGGTGGGTTGGGGAAGTTTCCCTGAGCCTCATAATTTGGGGTTTGGCCATTTCCACCATTGTAGGTGAGTTGGGGAAGTTTCCTTGAGCCTAGT